TTCCAGCAATTTCATAGTTTCAGGGCTTAAGTTTAGGTCTTTGATCCATGTTGTATATAGTGAGAGGTATAGATCTAATTTCATTCTTTTATGTATAGACACTCAACGTTGCCAGCACCATTTAGGGAAGAGACTATCCCTTCTCCAATGTATATTGTAGGTACTTTTGTGAAAAATCTGCTGGATGAATAAACATGGATTAATTGCTGCGTTCTTTTTTCTGTTCCACTGACCTATGTATCTGTTTTTATGCCCATTCCATGTGTATTTTCATTACTATAACTTTGGAGTATACTTTGAAATCAAGTATTATGATGCCACCAGTTTTCTTCCACCTCAGGATTGCTTTGACTACTCAGGGTCTTTTGTGGTTCTAGATGAATTTTAGGATTTTTTTCTAATTCTGTAAAGAATTTCATTACTATTTTGATGAGGATTGCATTGAGTCTGTAGATTGATTTAGGTAGTATGGACATTTTTACAATACTAATTCTTCTAATCCATGGACAAGGAATATCTTTCCTTTGTTCTGTGTCCTTGCTTATTTCTTTCATCAGTGTTTATAATTCTCATTGTAGAGATATTTCTCTTCTTTTGCTAAAATTTATTCCTAAATATTAAAATTTCATATAGATATTATAAATTGGAATGTTTTCTTGAGTTCCCTTTCAGCAAGATCATTATTGGTGCATAAAAATGCTTCTGTTCTTGTACCAATGCCATCTCACTAGTCCAAGTGATCAATTTCAATTCACAATTGATCACACTGATAGGTCTAAGAGTCAAAGGAATCACCCCAACAAGACTAGTGTCTGCGAATACTAGCTGACAGAATAAAAAAGGGAGAGAACGATCCAACATGGGAAGCGGGATACACAGCAGACTCATAGAGTGGCAGATGTCCTAAACAGCACTCTGGCCTCAGAATCAGCCCTTAAGGCACTCAGATCTGGCTGAAGAGCCCATGAGAGTATTTTAGGCATGGAAAGCCAAGACACTCTGGCAAAAAAAAAAAAAAAAAAAAAAAAAAAAAAAAAAAAAAAAAAACTAAATGAAAAGTCTCTGTGAGTGAGATCCCAGTAGAAAGAACAGGCCATCAAAGAAGGAGGTACCTTTCTCTGAAGGGAGGAGAGAACTTCCACTTTCACTATGACCTTGTCTAAATAAGATCGGAGTCTGTGAACTCAAGAGGCTTCCATAGCCTTGGAAACTCATGACTAGAGCCTAGGGAGATTTCTGACACCATAAACAAGAGTGTTAAATTGTTAAGTCAACAACAGGAGTCACTGTGTACTTACTCCTTATGTGGGATCTCTGTCCTTAATGTGTTGTCCAATGTAAACTAATGCTATAGCTAATACTCAAACAGTACTTTACACTTTATGTTCTGTGTGGGTGCAAACTGATGAAATCTTTACTTAATATATGCTAAATTGATCTTCTGTATATAAAGATAATTGAAAATGAATCTTGATGTGAATGGAATGGGAGAGGGAGCGGGAGATGGGAGGGGTGCAGGTGGGAGGGAAGTTATGGGGGGAAAAGCCATTGTAATGCATAAACTGTACTTTGGAAAATTATATTTACTAAATAAAAGTTTAAAAAAATGCTTGTGTTCCCTAGATGATGATTTTTCTATCTTACCACTTTACTGAATTGGTTTCTCATTTCTAATGACCTTTGGAGGAGTGGCTAGATTTTTCTGTGTCTAAATCATGTTATTTACAAACATGGATAATTTGAATTCTTCCTTTCCAAACTATATGCCTTATTTCTTTCTGTTCCTTAATTGATCTTGCTAATACTTCTAATACTATATTGAATAAGAGTTGTAATAGTAGACATCCTTGTCTTGTTCCAGATCTGAATGGAAATGTTTTTAAGGTTTTTCCCATTTGGTATGATAGTGGCTGTGGGTTTGTCATATATGGCCTTTATGCTTTTGAAGCATGTTCCTTCTATAGCACATTTGTGGAGAGTTTTTTAATCATGAATGAATATTGAATATTATCACATGCTTTTTCTGCATCTGCTGAGATGATCATACGGTTTTTGTTCTTCATTGTGTTGATGTAATTTATGATGTTTATTGCTTTGGAAATGTTGAACCACCCTTGAATCACTGTGATAAATTCCACTTGATTGTGAAAACAATAAGTCAAGAAATACAAATCCTGCATATTCTCTTTTATATTTGTAAGCTTAAAAAACAAACCTCAATCTGAACACAGAATGTTCATTACTAGAGGCTGGCAGGGATATTGAGTTTGGATAGTGAGTAACAAATCAAACTTAGAGAGAAGGAATAAGTTCTTGGTGTTCCAAAGCATAGAGGGAAGGCTATAGTTCACAATGACCTAGTATATAATGTATGAACAAATATACTTCAAGCTTGCAATCACAGAGTAATGTTAAAGAAAGGGAAATATTGATTACCCTGATTTGGTCAGTATGAATTGTATACATACATTGAAATGTCACAATGTAGCTCATAAATATGTACAATTGTGGTTAAGTAAAAATTTTAAAAAGAAAATAGCAAAAAAATTTTAATTGGCACTTTGAGGTATATCCAAGAGAATATTGAGATCATAGGTTAAAATTAGTCTTCTATGAAAAAGCAGTAATTAAAGAATAAGACAAAATTCAAACAAATTGAAAACATAGTGACTGGAATAACATAACTTAGTAAAAAGCAGTGGAACTAACTTAAAAAGTGTTTTAGTAGTTTGAAAGCTTAAGTCATGGAATAGAGATGGAACAGATTATACAGCACAAGTGCAGGAGGACACTTCAAAAAGTTTATGGAAAACTGGAATTTAGAGATATTTATTTTTGATGCAAAGCATTTGAAGTTCATTCATAGTTTTTTCATAATATGCATTTTCCATGAACTTTATTCAAGACCCATCATAAATGAGATTTTCAAATTTTTAAAAGTTTTAAATTGGTAAGGAACAGATCAATTAATGATATTGAAACAATTGGCTATGAATTGGGGAAAGAATCAAGTTTAAGGATTATCTTGAATATTTTACCCTCTTCTGCTTCAATTTCTCTATCTCTACCGAATCATTCCCATCACCATTCAAAAATGTCATGTATCTTCCATCTGTAACAATCCCTCCTCCAGATCTATTTCCATTCCTCTGATGCCCTTCACAGCAGAGCTTCTTGAACTTATTGTCCATGGTTGGTTACTGCCACTCTCTCTCAACTTACCATTCACTTGCTCCCCTGGAGCTTCCATTTCAGCACGCTGAAGTATCTGCTCTTGTCGCCAATAACCTCAGAGTTACTAAATTGAATGAAACCTCTCAGTCCTCATCCTACTCAACCTCTTGGATGCATTTAACTGATTTGATTACTCCCTTTTATTCTTCAAAAATTCTCCTCTTGGCTTCCATGACACTAACTTTTCCTGCTTTTCTCTTACTTCAGTAGCCCTTTCTCCTCAACCTTTACCAACTTAATCATTTCTAGCTCTAGCTGCCTGATGAAGAGGCAGCTGTACTGTACGTTTTTGTAGACTGATTCATTAGGTTGCTTGAGTTGAGTTCTGTTTTAAAATTAAGCAGACCACCAATGCTATCAATCCCTCTGTAGGTTTCCACAGATAAGCAATGTTCATACTAAAACTTTCTTGTTGGCCGGTAGTTATCTTTTATAAATAAGAAATATGTTTTTCAGTGCAATATCCTTTTTTATGTCTTTTAATATACTGAAAAATCACATTTCAGAAAATCTACAGAAATACCTTCCTTTAGTACTAGCTTAGCAGTTTAAATATTGGCTATGACATTTTTTAAAGGATTGGCTACATTTTCTTCTATGTTAAACCATCTGAGAAAGCTATGAATATAGATGAAGATGCTGCAAAGGTGTGTAAAACAATGTTAACATTTAACATCCTATGCTAACTGACAAAAGGTGAGAAACACTATGTCCCAGATCATTTTTTACATGTTGACAAGAATGCTGTTTACTGCAAGTGAATGTCATCTAGGACTTATGTGTTGGAGGAAAGTGACTCAGGGTTTAAGGCTACAAAATCATTAATGGGCTGGGATATGGGGCACAAGTGCTATCAAATAGTGAGTAAAGTTCCACTATTTACTATCATTGGAATTAGCACTGCTCTTCTTAATGTTCTAGTTACAAACTTCCATGGGTTTTAAGTGGTTAGCCCTAACCATACATTTGCTACAAGTCCCATTGTATTTAGCACACACTTTTGAAACATTTTTTCCAGGTGCAACATTACAATAGAAATACATGCAGTGGTTATAAAATCCAAACTTCTTAACATCCTTATCCTTCCATGAGATATCTACCTCCCAAATATGCCCTGAACACAACGCAATCACTTTTCACTCTTTCCATAGCTACCATCCTGATCCAAACCACCAACTTTGCTTGCCTGTAGTAATAAAATAGCCTCATTTCCAATCTCTTCCTTCTAGTTCATTCTCCACATAGCGATTAAGAAGATCCCTTTAATACACCAATCAGATTGCAGTGCTGCTTAGTCTGCGTTTGTTCACCTCTCTAATGGATTTCCATTACACTCTGAATAAACCCACCCTCACTGCATGCCTCTCAAGCCCTGCTCTATCCTGGTCTAGCTCCCATAACCTCATCTGCCACCCTTCCTGCCATTGCTCACACTGCTCCGATCCCACTGGCCTTGGACACACCAAGCTTATTCATGCCTCAGTCTTGTCTTTTCCTATTTTCTCTGCTTGGAACCATCTTGCCCCAGCTCTTCATCTGGCGGGATTGGGATCTTCCCCATCATGTGGGTGTTGACTTGAATGGATCCTCTTCAGAGATGTTCACTCCTTCCCACCCCAGCTAAAGAATTACCTTCTGTCACCAGGTTTTCTCTAGAGCATTATCCTGATTTGATTGGTTCCCAGCATCTACCATCTAATTTTATCTTTTAAATACATATATTTAATATGAAATAAATATATAAATATAAATATATATACACTCACGATCTTTCTTTCTTCAGTCTCCTCCTGTTAATTCTTGTATTTCTAGACATAGAACAGTGCCTGGCTCACAGCCTGTATTAATGGAATGAATGAACAGTTTAGTGCTTCTAAAAGTTTCCTAAGGAAACTCCCAATTGCATGAGGCTTGGATACAAAAAGGTTAAAGTGGCTAGATTTGCAGGCTTGTTCTTGCATTCCAGGGATACACTTGCGTACTCCCACTCATAGGAAGCTGTCTGCTGACTTCATCATTATGCTTGCCATCATTCCTCATGAATTCATATCAAAGTAGAACTGAAAATGAAGCTCAGTGCCTTGGTGTTAACAAGACTAAGTTTGTAGCAGAAATACTGGCACCTGCATTCGAATCTGGCTATCATTTCTTCATTGTAATCCCACACGGAGCTACCCCTAATGCTTAAGGATAATAAATGCAGTTGGGCTGCAAGGGATCCAAACAAGCTGTAAATACACACAACTTTGGCAACATTTCTAGCTTTATAGAGAATAGAAAAAATAAAATGACACAGAAGAAGAGTATAGGGAAGTCAGAGAATCAAATCATTTTAGACATCAAATCAAGGGATGTTCCAGGGGGCATTTCCCTGTTTATTTAAGAAAGGTGTTTTATATCTAGAAATGAGAATTTCATAAGCTCCTCTGTGAGGATCACAGAGCATCCTCTGTGATGAAATATCAGAAAATTTTAGAAGGTTCAAAAGGTTTATGGAGAATTGAAATTAAAAGATAAGTTTATTGTGGTACAAAATATTGAAATTGATACATAGCTTTTTCATAATATACATTTTCCATGAATTTTCAAGGATCTCTAGGATCTCAGCATGGCCTTTTGTATACTTCAAATCCAATTCCCTATGAAAGTGAAGAAAAACAATATTATGAAATTGTAATAATGTAATTGTTCTGTCCCCAAGTAGTGATTAACTGTGCCTTCTGTTCTCTGAATCTTATCTCATTGGTTTTATATTACAAATAACTCTTGTTGTTCCTCTTCCCTTGACCTACTTGAAGTTCACATTTTTCTAAAAACGTGGATCTCCGAACAGAATGCAACACTTTGGGATAATTTTTTTTCCAATCCTATTAAACCTATTTGCTTGTCTGTTACATGCCAGTCACCATTCTAGGCACTGGAGATAGGGAAGAGATCAGGACAAAACCCTTGGCTATTCAGAGCTTGCATGCTGCTAGGGTGGTGTGACATGGGGTAGAGCGACAAGGAACATACATGCAAATGTAAGTTTAATAATTGCTCTGAAGAAGATTCAACAGTATTAGCACCAAAGGATATTTGGGTAGGGAGGAGGGATGGGTCACTGTGGATATAGAGGAGGGTCAGGATTTCTAAGTAGCTGATATTTAATCAGTCTGAAGGATAAAAAATCATCCAGTTTGGCTAGAGATCCTCCCAGTCAGAGGTGTCTGCAAAGAGGTGGGCATGAGAAACTGAAATGCTTGTGAGCCTGAAGAGTGATGGGCTAGGACGAGTTCTGAGATGAGTTTCTAGAGAGTCAAGCAGGAGCAAGATATTTTGAGACTTTTTCCGAGCAAGCCCCAGCACAGTGTTTGAATTTTATTTTAAGTACTATTGGAGCACTTTAATAGAAAGCTATCAGGGCAATTGGGATAGTGATTTTTGTTTTAATGTCCTTAGTTGTTCTGTAAAAAAATTTCTTGGTGGGCCAGTGTGTGGTGCAGTGAGTTACTCTGCTGCCTGCGATTCCAGCATCCCATATTGGAGGTACTGGTTTAAGTCCCAGCTGCTCCACCTCCAATCCAGCTTCCTGCTTATGCACCTGGGGAAGTAGCAGAAGATGGCCCAGGTGCTTGGGCCCCTACCAGCAATGTGGGAGACCCAGTTGGAGTTCCAGATTCCTGGCTTCAGCCTGGCCCAGCCCCATCCATTGCAGCCATTTGGGGAGTGAACCAGCAGATGGAAGATCTCTTTCTGTCTCTCCTTCTCTCTGTGTCATTTTGCCTTTCAAATAAATACTTTTAAAAATTTCTTGGAATAGTACAAAAGTGCAAATAGGCAGTACAGCTTGAATGTTCTTTCAGGCAAGCAGGTGAGAGGTGATAGTTTGTACCAAGGTGATGGGAGCGGAGATGGGGAAAAGTATTCAGAGTCTGGATATATTTGGAGTTACAGTCAATAGGGCTTGAATATAAGAGATAAAGGAGGCAAGATTTTTTGGTTTGAACAGTTGTGCAGAGGTGGTAAGACTGGGAGAAGACTGACAAGGTAGGTGTAGCCAATGAACTGCTTCACATGAATCAGGATAAATGAATCCACTTAACAAATATTTGCTGAACTCCTATGTGCTGATACTGTTCCAGGCTCTAGAATTGGTCTTGTTGGATCAATGTCACATTGTTTTTCAGCTGTGTCTTTCAACACAGGCATTACACCGGTCATTGAAGGAGGGTCCATGCTTTTATATTGTTCACTGCTACATCTCATCTAGCATATAATTGGGCACACACTAGCCCAACATAGGCCTGCTAAATGACTAAATCAAATTATTCAAAGATTTTAGAGTGAGTGTGAATACACTAGATCAATAGTCTAACAGAATGTCAATGAGATAATCAAGGTTTCCACTAAGGTGATTATCAGAAGCACTGAAATGCTGTACACATTTTTATTAATTCTAATCTGTAACTACTTAAGAATCACATAAAAACTGAAGCATGTGCTTTTTAATTTACAAGGTAGCATAAAGTTGCTTTTGGGAAAAGAAGTAAAGATAACCATATTTTTAAATATTAAATTCAGACATACATGTTTAGTTAAATATGGAAATTTTACATTAAGATGTAGCTTTACAAATATTGCTTGTTTAATTTCAAGGATAAACCTGGAAAATGGTAAATTAAAAGATGTTTTATTCTGGGGGGGGCAGTTTTATTCTGTTATAGTGCAGTGGATTAAGTTGTCACTCAGGAGGATAGTATACCACATATGAGCACCAGTTCAAGTCCTGCCTACTCTGTTTCCAATCCAGCTTTCTGCTAAGGCACCTGAGAAGGTAACAGAGGATGGCACAAGTCCTTGAGCCTCTGCCCATCCATGGAATAGGACATCCTATGGGAGACCTGGATGGAGTTCCTAGCTTCCAGCTTCGGCCTGGCATAACCCATGCTGTTGTGGCCATTTGGGAAGTGAACTAGCATACTGAAGTCTCTCTCTCCCTCTCCTCCTCTGCTTTTCAAATAAATAGAAATTTTTTAAAAGCTGTTTTATTCTGAGCTTGGCTCTTCTAATATTATCATTACTGTTTCAGCAGAAACTAAGAAGCAGTGCAGAAAGCAGAAGACAGGCAGCAAAAAAGCCATACTTTCATACTGCTGCTGCTATCCTAGCTTTCTGTAATCTAGCCTGGGATGAACACTGTATATTAACATTACAGTCTTTAAGTTCTGCAGATAACTAAAATATGAACACAAGACAATCTGTTTATGCTTTCTGATGGTAATGCATCTTAAACACCATAACATCAGTATTTCCTTGCTTTAAAAACCTTGGTAAAATAAACCTATAAAATTCCAAACAACCAAATGTCAACTTTACATGATGAAGTATTTCTGCTATGTAGTCGTTTTATGTGCCAACTGGTATCCAAGAATTTAGGCTATTTGCAATATCAACTTGTGATTTTGGAAAGGAATAAGTTGAACTTTTTTTTTCTTGTATCAAGAAGTTTTTTACTTAGTTATAAACAAAGCCAGTCATGTAACATGAGATGTGGTAAGAAGCAAACATCTCTTCAGCCAACTGATTTTTAAAATTTCATTTTTAGATACATTTTTGCTTATTTCAAAGGCAGAATGAGAGAGAGAAAGGAAGAGACAGAGAAAAATGGGTTCATTCCCTAAGTGGCCACATCAGGCAGTTGGCCAGGTAGAAGACAGGAGCTAGGAGCCAGGATTTCCTTCCTTCTCTACCACGTAGATGGCAAGGACCATCTTCAGCTGCCCTCCCAGGCACATTAGCAAGGAGCCATAATTCTGGCTCCAAACCAGCTCATTTCAAATGAATTGAAGTGAGCATATAAAAACAGGCATGCATCTGAAACTTTATAGGGAAAAAACAATCCATAGGAATATTGACAACAGAGGCCAGGTTGTGGCACAGTGGGTTAAGCCACCATCTGCGATGCTGGCATCCCATCTCACATTGCTGGTAAGGTTACAGTCCTGGTGGCTCCATTTCTGAGCCAGCCCTTTGCTAATATGCATGGGAAGGCAGTAGAAGATGATCAAAGTGCCCCTGCCACTCATGTGGGAGACCCAGATAAAGTCTTTGGCTCCTGGCTTCAGCCTGACCCAGCCTCAGTCATTGCAATCATTTGGGGGAGTGAACTAGCAAATGGAAGAACTCTGTGGTTCTCATTCTTTCAGATAGAAATCTTTATTTAAAAGAATATTGACAATATTCATGAACGGCACATTTACAAGCCTCTCTCTATTCTCTAAGCCATGGATTTGTTCAAATTAATTAAGAGCACTTCTTTGCATTACATGAAAATGTTTGGCTTTAAAAAATGTGATTCATCTTATTATTTGGGAAATGCTTAATATTAGCTAATTCCTATCTTCTCTCAGGGCCTCAGAAATAACCAATTTACATTAGGGAAATAGATTACATTCTGAAAAGGAAGAGGTAATGACTTCCAAATGGACTGCATTGGCTCCCCAGGGTGACAAGGAGAGTTACTACTTGCAAAGGAAAAGAGACATACTTAACAAAAACTATTCCAATTTTGCCTTGTTAAAGTTTCTGTTGTAGAAAGCAATAATGATTTCAGCATTTCAGTAATATTGCCAAGACCAGTATTTTTTTTAAAAAATATCTAATGTGAAGTTTCACATTTGTACTCATACAAGGTACTCATAGACTCAGAAAACAAAGCATTCACACCATTTAAGGCATGCCAGAAATCAACTTCTGGTTCATGAATTTATGGTTGAATGCATTATTCAATATTTTGTGTAAATTAAATAGCCTAGTGAGCATTAAATTTAGAAATTCTATCAGATAAGTTTCCAGCATTTCTGTACTTGGAAGCCACCTCCCAAAATTTATTCCCTTTTGATAACAGTATGTATTGTTGCTTTACAATAGTTTTCAGAACCAATATAAAACCTAATTCATAATCATGTGGGTCTGTGTGCCTCATGACTTAATTTCTATCATGTCTTATTTACCACTTTATAGTTCTTTGGTGTCTTCTTTGAGTGTTTATATGAAAAGAACATGAGTATTTAATATCAACCAAATTAAAGAGCAGGAGAAAAGAGGTCAAGATGTGAGGGCAGCCTCCCATAACTGAAGCCTCTTTCCACACACGCATAGAATGTGTGTTTACACAGGAGATGGTAGCATGCCAGGGTCAGCAATGTTTTTAGTGCAGTTCCCAAGCAAAGTTTACTACATCCTTAATGTATTTTCCATCCCCAAATGGTGGAATCTTTACTAAACAATGGTTAATATCTGAACAGACTAGATGTACCCATTATCTTTTGACAGATTCTGGATTCCCAAGAGTGCATTTTCATGTAGATGGAAATGCCTTCCTTACAATGACCTTAATTTGTTATCAGCTATGTATCCTAATCACTGTGTAAATATTCTTTTCATTTAGGAAATCAATTCTCCAATAAATGTTCAAATGCTTCTTGATTATCTTTAAAGGGAACACTATGTGGTATGCAATTTTTCTTTTTAACTTCTTAAACTAGTTTCTTTTAACTACTTACAGACTTATCCCTGGTGAAAATCCTGAGGATTTTAAGAAATCCCCAGAGAACATCTAAAAAGTTGTTAAGACAAATGACCTTGAAGTATAGAAGCCCTTTTCTAAATAGGGTAATGATTACACTTACAGACACTATGATGAAAGAACACCGACACAATTTATTTTCTGTTTTATAAGAAAACTTCTGAGTGCTACAAATTAAATGCATCAATTCTGAATTTGGATATAATGAAGAAAGATTCACAATTTTATTGGGATGACACAACTCTGTGTAATGCTAGGCACCGAGATTCTAAAACAAAAATGAAAGCAAACTGAAGTGTGCAAGATAAAGGTACTTAAGTTCAGAGGATCCATGAACCTCCCCAAATAGTACACAAGCAGCTGTGTAGTGTGTATGTGTACATTTTCCTGTAAGTCCCAAAACTGTAATCAACTTCTAAAGAAACACAAAAGGGTCAAGAAACAGTGTAGGGTAGAATTCTAATCTCCTTCCCTATACTTCCAGTAAGATCATTTGTGTATATCTAACAGTTAATTTTAATAACAAAAAGGTAGAAAACAAATAAAAGGTAACCTGCAAGGACTGGGCTATGAAAAAATCCCGAGTGTTATTTCCTTTATGGGCTTAGCAACAGGTTCCAGTTTAGAGAAAGAAAATGGGGCTGTAGCGGTTAACACAAGCTGAGAGAGAGAGACTCCAGCAGGATTTTTCAAGTCCTTAGAAAAACCAACCTTTAGTATGAATAAAGCAATAGCAGGAACTCCAAATCCAGTGTAACTCAAAGTACAATTTTCAGTTTTTGCATAATTCAACTTATTTTTATTTTTTTAATATCACAAACTTCAATCAGAATACTTTTAAAAATATTATTCTGCATGCATTTAACAAATCTGACAAAAGGACAAATATCCAGTTTACTTGCATCATAACTGAAGTTTTAACTGAACAGCCAAAGAACACATTTAAAATCATTAGGCACAGGTAACAATGAAAAAAACTCCAATGCATTAGTATGATGGCAGCCTACCACTATGCACATGTTCATATAACACTACTAGTAATGACCCTGAAGCACAGGCAAATGGAGATGAAGGACTCTCCCTAAGAAGCAAGTTTAAGGGATCAAATATCATCATCATCATCACTACTGAGGACAAAGCTGCTGCCTGTGGACAGGGGCCCTTCTTCCTTAGCATTCTCAAAACCACCCAAAGTCCCTTTCTCATCAGAATCGTCAAACAACTTCTCATTGGAATTCTCCTCCTCGTCAAATAACTTCTCATTGGAATCATCATCTTCGAATAACTTCTCCTCTACCTCATCACCTGCCTTCATATCTGCATCTTCTTCCTCTTCCTTTTCATCAGAATCTTCAAAGAACTTTTCATCTGCATTGGCTTCTTCCTCCTTTTCGTCAGCATCTTCAGGCCCCTTTTCATCTGCTTCTTCATCCTCTTTCTCATCAGACTCATCTTCGAAAACTTTTTCATATGGATCTTCCCCTTCTTCCTTCTCCTCTGAATCTTCATCAAACTCTCTCTCTGAGCCTTCCTCATCTAACACTCTCTCAGAGCCCTCATCATATTCAGATCTGTCTGTATCATTTTCTTCTAACTCATTTTCAAGAACATTTCCATGAGATTCCTGATCAGAGCCATCTTCGTCAAAATCTCTTTCAACACCGTTTCCTTCAAATTCTTTTTCAGAGCCATCTTCAGACAGTTTTTCTGAGTGTTCTTCCTCAGATTCTCTCTCTGAGTCATCCCCTTCAGACTCCTTTTTGGGGCCACCCTCCTCTTCAGAATCCTTGTTGGGGTCATCTTGCTTGGACTCCTTCACAAAGCCATTCTCTTCATAATCACTTTTGAATCTCTTCTTTGGAGATTCTCTTTCTCTTTTAGAGCCATTCTCTTTCAACTCCTTTTTAGGAGTCCCCTCTTCCAACTCTTGTCCAGGGCTGCCTTCTTCGGACTCTTTCTCAGGGCAGCCTTCTTCACAATCTCTCTCAGGGCAGTCTCCTTCAGACTCTCCTTCAGGGCAGTTCTCTTCACATTCTTCTTCTTTGGCCTCTTTTTTGGGGCCACCTTCTTTAGCATCATTTCCAGAAGCATCTTCTTCAAAGCCTCCCCCATCTTCTGCCTTTTCAAACTTCTCATCAATAGGTTCTTCAAGCGCCATTTCAGTTGCGGAATCTTCAGCATTCATTTCAGATGTGCCAGGGTGCTCTGAAAAGTGCCTTACTCTAGAAGGCCCTGCCCTTTCTGTTGCAACAACAGAATCTGATCGCTGAAGGCCTCTGTTGGCCTCTGGAGCATTGAGGAAAGCCTCCCATCCTCTCAGCCTTTCCTCCCTTTCTCTGGAGGTCTCCTCCACCTGTGGATAAATAGAAACTGTCATTAAAAAAAAACTTTTAGGCAAAAAGAAGTAACCTCTCTGGGCATTTCTAATATTGATCAATGGTACCTCTTCTTCAGAAATTAAAACAATTCCATCTTAAATTTTCAAAAATTTCCATCTTGGGGCAAGTGTTGTGGTAGTGCATTAAGTTGCCAGTTGGGATGCTCACATCCCATACCGGAGTGCCTGGGATCAAGTTCTGCTTCTGTTTCCAATCCACCTTCCTGCTAACATCCACCAGGGCCCAAGTACTTGGGTTCCAACCACCATCCACATGAGAGACCCAGTTGCAGTTCCAGGATCCTGGCTTTGGCCTGGCCTAGCCCTGGCTATTGCAGACATTTGGGGGAGTGAACTGGAGGATGGGGGATCTCTCTCTCTCTCCCTGTCGAACTAGTTAATCAATTAATTTTAAAAAACTTTACATCATGATTTACCAGAGTTTACCATAAATAAGATCATTTAAATAAATGAAACCACCACAGTACTGTAGCAATTTCTCACCTTTTCAAAAGTTAATATTTTAGCTCCAACTGTACTTTATGACATAGAAAGGAAGAGAAACATTTTGGCTCAATGTCTTCTTTTCTTACACTATCCTAAGCCAGCCTCAAAATTTCAGACTCATAAACTGGAAGACTGAAATATTTCTCTTACTAACCTTCAGATGCAAAATAGTATTTAAAATAAGTATTGCTACATTAAACAGATAAAACGGAACCTAAAACCTAAATGTGAAGGGCTGCTGTATTAGTACTTGTTAGTGATGATGCAATGGATGTGCCCTTGACAGCTGCAGAATTTACCTGATAATCTGTAGTCCCATCCCATGCTTCAGCAGTGATTTGACGGCCACCAAACCACCTTCCATCAAGGGTTTGAATGCAATAATCAGCTTCCTCTGGATCCCTAAAGGACACAGAGGCTACACCATCTGGGTGCCTCTAGAAAGACAACAAGGAAAAAAAAGGAACAAATGATAAGATAAAAACATAAGACATACAAGCATGTGACACAGTAGGTAGGGAGTAGCGTTCTCTTTGCTACTTTAAGCTAAATGACTTTATGTATTATTTCTTCTCTTTGATCACAGCTTGTAAAATGCAGCCAGCTGCTTCTTTAGCTTAGTCTTATCTAGCAAGAACCAAGCAATGTCCTTGGAAATGCTTTTGCTGACAACACTGTCTAATGCGAGGCAAGAAAGTATAACCGTTAAGAGTGTAAACTCTGAAGCCAGATAGCCCTGGAATGAAATCCTGGCTTTGTTAGTTACCAGCTGAATGACCTTGGACAAAGTGCTCAATCTCTAACATTTTAGCTCCCTCATCCAGAAAATGGGTGGAATAATGCCTATATACCTCCAAGGGTTATGAGAATTTAATGGGATAACATGTATCACACCATGTAGTACACAAGCAATGGTGACTTTTAATTATTATGCTTTAATTTTGGAAGCACAAAAAGGATACAAAGGGGAAACATAAAGAAGAATTATCTCTCCTGATTGTTTCAAATATGCAGGGAGAGAATAATTCCCAGAGAGGGAGAAAGGCAGGCAAACAGGGAATCATAAGGTCTCATACATTTTTCTTGTACTTTATTTTCCTGATCAAATATTATAGAGTGATGATGAAGAAAAATGAACAAGGAATAACCAAATCTATCAAAGCTTTGACTTGCAATCTATGTTTATCTAATTATTACTAACTAAACACTAACACAAGATAGCAGGTCGTCTATATAAAAATATTCATCTAAAATTCATGGGCATCTAAATGTCTGGTCACCACTTATTCAGTGGGAAGAATGACTGATCTAGGATTCATTTGTCCAAGCCATGAACTTACATCAAAGAGAAGGAGCTTCTTAATTTGTCCAAACTTTGAACACTCTACTCGAAGGTCTTCTCTTATCTCATTCAACACCAAAGGATCATCCTGCAAAAATACAAATGATTAAAATGAATTTTTGCTCACTTCTTTAACTATAAATCCTGAAAAATATCTTGTTCTTACTAACTGAATAAAAAAGCATTTTGCTTAAGGTTGGTTATGCTTGTCTACAGTTTATAAAATTAACAACAACAAAATCAAATGAAGCTAGACTACTTGAGCCACTGTTACTACGACAATATGTCCCGCTTTAAGATAGAAGAAATAGACAAATATGGCAGATGGCAGAAGGGGTGTACAGTGGTAAGGGAAAGCCAAGAGAAGTATCAATGGCAATTCCAAATCTACATCAACTGTGATGGCAGAAGTGTGGAACATGAGTAACGACTGCTAGTTCCTATGTTGTCTATGGCCATCACAATGGAAGTGATGAGAGCCTTTTGTTTTGTGTTTTGGATAGATTCATACTTGCAGAAACGTTAGAATGCAGAGAAACATAGCCTTTTCAATGACTAAGTATTCTATAATTGATTTTCAGGCTTCTAAGAGTCTATTTTAAATCACAGGGTAAATCTTATGAGCATTCCTGTTCATCTTGTCTCCTACCACATTGCACTACCCGATGTTAAACAGACAATAACATACATTCTTGCTGTTGCTTTCTTGCAACTATGAACAACTCTAATAAGAACATCCAAGCACTACTGTTTCTAGTAGCTTTAAATTCAGGTAGACTTTCCTCCCCATAACAAGAGGTTTAAAGATTTTCCTTAGGGATTTCAATTCAATCCCATCAAGGTGGCATGTACCAAGGTATCACTAGTCAAAGTGATCAGTTTCAGTTCACAATTGATCATAACATAGGATTAAGAGTCAAAGGGATCAAAACAAGACTAGTGTCTGCTAATACTAACAGATAGAATTAAAAGGGAGAGAACAATCCAACATGGGAAGCGGGATACACAGCAGACTCATAGAATGGCAGATGTCCTAAACAGCACTCTGGCCTCAGAATCAGCCCATAAGGCATTTGGATATGGCTGAAGAGCCCATGAGAGTATTTTAAGCATGGAAAGCCAAGACACTCAGAAAAAAAAAAAAAGACCTAAATGAAAGATCTCTGTGAGTGAGATTCCAGTAGAAAGAACAGGCCATCAAAAGAGGAGGTACCTTTCTCTGAAGGGAGGAGAGAACTTCCACTTTCACTATGACCTTGTCTAAATAAGATCAGAGTCTGTGAACTCAAAAGGCTTCCATAGCCTTGGCAACTCATGACAAGAGCCTAGGGTGATTACTGACGCCATAAACAAGAGTGTCAATTGTTCAATCAACAACAGGAGCCACTGTACTCCCCATGTAGGATCTCTGTCCCTAAAGTGTTGTACAATATGAATTAATGCTATAACTAGTACTCAAACAGTACTTTACACTTTGTGCTTCTGTGTGGGTGCAAACTGTTGGAATCTTTACTTAATATATACTAAATTGATATACTAAATTGAAAATGAATCTTGATGTGAATGGAATGGGAAAGGGAGCGGGAGATGGGAGGGCTGCAGGTGGGGGGGAAGTTATGGGGGGTAAAAGCCACTGTAATCCAAAAGCTGTACTTTGGAAATTTATATTTATTAAATAAAAGTTAAAAAAAAGATTCCCTGTAGAAATTAACAAATTTTTCTCCAATCCTCAATGCCTGAAAAAGACAGAAAAAGAAAATCAACCTGAATTTCAACTACATACAAATAGAAGATATCCTTCTATGAATTTCTATTTAAGTCAACTTACACTTTCTGGGAAGCACTTAAATGTATCTATCTTTCTTACAGAGTTTTTTTTTTCTCAGCAACTAAGGAAGAAGTGCAAAGAACTACAAAAACAAAAATGGCACTCCTGCCCTGAAGTTCTCTCAAAATGCAAAAATAAGCAACTAGGTATGCATTTACTAAAATTAGATTCAAAATAAAAAATACAAAGTCCTACTCATTTTCACAAATCTGAGGCTTCTGAAATTACACTTGGAAGACTCTGGATTTCCCTACTTATAAATATAATTTTGAAGAAACGAATTTGTTTCCTACAGAATTATAACACCAGAGAAGAATGCATTAAAGTCACTGGTAAAGTCATGTGGTAGCCTTTGGTGATGTGTGTGTCTGGTCAGCTACTATGAGACTGTATGCTTTCAAAAGGCAGGAGCTTTGTTTTACTGCATTTTGTATACCTTGCAGAATACCTCCTACAGTACAGACTTTCATACACAGCCAACAATCAATAAAAGCTTTTTCAGAATTTGATAAATTGTTCCTAATATCTCTTTTATTCACCAATGGAAATCAGGATTACTTAAAAATAAACAAAACACTCAACAATTTTAAATCTAAGCATTCCCATTAGGGTGTGCAGGGTAGGATGTGGTGGGGTGGAGGCATCAATTTTATTTCTAAACCAACTTTTTGGTTCTTTTCCTGTAAGATACCAAATCTTAGCCAAAGTCTCACCAGATCTCCATGTTTGTTTTTACCAGCTTTGAAAAACTGATCTATATTAATTGCTGAAGCTAAAAGATAATAATCCCTTCTTTAGGAATACTATTTTAACCTAGCTGGGTACATGTAGAAATTTTCTAAGAAGACTCTGCAAGCAATAGACCTCAGGCTAAAATCAGATTCATATATTAAAACCCTCTGTTGGCCCGTGCTGCGGCTCACTAGGCTAATCCTCCACCTGCAGCGCTGGCACACCGGTTCTAGTCCCGGTTGCTCCTCTTCCAGTCCAGCTCTCTGCTGTGGCCCAGGAAGGCAGTAGAGGATGGCCCAAGTGCTTGGGCCCTGCACCCACATGGGAGACCAGGAGGAAGCACCTGACTCCTGGCTTCGGATCGGCACAGCGCGGGTCATAGCAGCTGTTTAGGGGGTGAACCAATGGAAGGAAGACCTTTCTCTCTGCCTCTCTCTCTCTCTCAGTCTAACTCTGCCTGTCAAAATAAACAACAAACAAACAAACAAAAACCCTCTGTAGGCCAGTGCCACAGCTCACTTGGCTAATCCTCCAGCTGCGGCACAGGCACCCCGGGGTTCTAGTCCTGGTTGGGGCGCCGGATTCTGTCCCGGTTGCTCCTCTTCCAGTCCAGCTCTCTGCTGTGGCCCGGGAAGGTAGTGGAGGATGACCCAGGTCCTTGGGCCCTGCACCCACATGGGAGACCAGGAGGAGGAACCTGGCTCCTTGCTTTGCATCAGCACAGCGCACCGGCTGCAGCACCCATTTTGGGGGTGAACCAACGGAAAAGGAAGACCTTTCTCTCTGTCTCTCTCTAACTCTGCCTATCAAAAAAAAAAAAAAAAAAAGACCCTCTGCAGTCAATCCTTAGGATTTTTAGGGTATTGTTTTGTTTTTCCCTGGAAGAAATAAACCACATTTTTTGTGCCTTTCCAATCTAAATTTATGCTGGTAAAGTTAGCTAGTAACCACTATCCACACACACAGCTACTGTGTGTCATACAAAAGAACTGCACCTAATTAAAATTAAGGTGTTCTGTAAGGGTGCAAAGCATACCAGATTTTGAAGATTTAGTACCAAAGGGAAAAAGAACAATGTAACATAACTCATTAATATTTTTATATTTATTACAAGTTGAAATTATTAATATTTTGGATATACAGGGTTAAATAAAATTCGCCTTTAAAATGAAGTTCTCTGGTTTCATGTTGTGATTTTACTGTGGCTATAAAAAAGCTTAAAATACACATGTGGATCACATTATATTTCTCTTGGACAGTGCTGTTATAAACAATGAGAAATCTACCTCTATATCTAAGTTTTCATTCTTCAGCTCCTGGTATTCAAATTTCCAGGCAATGCATTCTGAAATAAGGCTTTGAATTAAATACTGACAACCCCCTGAAGTTAAGAGCATTAGCCTTCATTATTTACCCTGAAACTAAAGAGTACTTGTAAGTATACTGTTTGGAATAATAATATAGTCGACCTCCCAAACTGATTTCTTTCTGAGTGAACTGATGAATCAGCTTCTACTTCCCACTGAAAAGCTCAATGCTGGTATCTGTTCTTTGGGTTCACATGGTGTCTTCAATCAAATGAGACACTTTGCCAAAACAGTCGATAAAAGTAAGTTGTACTATTAACACTTGAGAGCTACATAATATCTATATGAGTGTCATCCAAAACAACTTCCTGTGATGACAGAAGTGCTGTACATCTGCATTATTCAATATGGTTATTACTAGCCACATGTGCTTAGTGTAACTAAGGAACTGAATTTTTAATCTAATTTAAATTATCTTACATTCAAATATCCACATTTGGCTGGAGTCTACCATGCTGGACAGAGCAGGTTTATACGGACACATATCCCTCTTGTTAACAGGCTCTCATCAAGGTAGTCAGACAACAGGAGCCCAGGCAGGTTGGCAAACAAAAACAATGCCAGCAAGCATGTCTTTGCCCATGAACTCTGAAGCCCTTTGTGATGTTAGGCATCTGAAAAGAAAACTTGCCTTGATTTGCAAAGATGCTAAAGAGAAAATGTTTTAAGCACTGGGTGAATAAAAAGATCCTGGCTTGTGAGTAACAGGGGATTCACATTCTTATCCTTCCAATTATTTTCATATAAATATTGAGGGTCTATTAATAAATATACACAGAGAGCCTAGTTTGTGCCAGCCACAATTCTACGCACTTGGAAGTATAGCAGCAAACAAGGCAGACAAAGTCCTGGCTCTCACGGTGCTCATGGTCTAGCAGAGGAAACAAATAAGTTCTATGAAAGAAACAAAATGGAGTAACATAAAGGCTCTATAACTCCAAAATACAGTTTATACTAAACAATTAGGAATTTGTAAGCATGAAACTTCTACTTTGAAAAATATTCACTGGAGGGAATTTGTAGGGGTCAAGGTAAATTCAAAGTCATTTTTTGTGGGAAAGAGTATTTGTTAAGCTAAGAAAAGCTAAATCTGCCCATACTGATAGACTCAAATAAGGCAAGTAAATGACCAAGGCAGGAGTTTGCTTGGTAGCTGGAGCAGAAAGCAGACCGTGGAGAGCCTTAAGCAGCATGCCTCACCCCACACTCCCTCAGTCTTGTTACTATCACATACTGGGAGAAGCCATAGCTGTCACAGCTGGCCCTAGTCACCATCACTGCAACCATGAGCAACAAGGCTGAGACCCAGCAGCTACCTGCCACCCCTGCCCTCAGCGCTGCTGAAACCAGGCCCAGCACCACTGGGCAGTGGCACAGGGAGCTGTGGCCCTGGTGGCCTCACATCATTGGTGCCTGGGCAAGATAACTACAAATGGATATGGTTTCATCAACCAGAATGACACCAAGGAAGATGTATTTATACACCAGGCTGACATAAACAATAATCCAGCAAGTCCTTTCACAGTGTAGGAGATGGAGAGACTATGGTGTTTGATATTGTTGAAGGAGAAAAGGGTGCAGAGGCAACAAAGCTTACAGGCCCTGGTGGAGTTCCAGTCCAAGGCAGTAAATATGCAACATACTTTAACCATTATATATGCCATCCACGCCTTAGGGTTCCTCCACGCAATGACCAACAGAAATTCAGAATAGTGAGAGTGGAAGAATGAACGAAGGGTCAGAGATTGCTTCTGAAGGTCAAGACCAACGGTGCTGGGCCTATTGCAGGCAAAGGTTCCCACCTCACTACATATATAGACCGTATGGGAATGGAGATAGAAGATGCTGACAGTCATGTTGCAGGAGGAGAAGGCAGACCAGTGGGACAGACTATGTGTTGGGCTTACAGAGGATTCTGCAAAGAATGCCAGAGACAGTTTAGATAGGATAAGGAAACTCAAGGAGATGAGACTCAAGATCAGCATCCACTTCGACAGTGCTACCACAGCAATTTCAATTACCAACACAGATGCCCAGATAACCCTAAACTACAAGTTGGCAAGGAGACAAATGCAACCAATTTGAGAATTCATCCCATCCCAAAGCTAAGCAGGGAAGAGTTGAGTAAATGCCAGAGACCATTTCTAGCATCATCAGGTTTAGTCATTCAACAAGAAAAAATGAATATGAAATTCCAGCAGTAAGAAAAGAACAAAAGGGGCTGGTGCTGTGGCATAGCAGGTAAAGCTGCTGCCTGCAGTGCCAGTATCCCATATGGGCGCTGGTTCAAGTTCCGGCTGCTCCACTTCCAATGCAGCTCTCTGCTATCGCCTGGGAAATCAATAGAACATGGCCCACGTCCTTGGGCTCCTGCACCCACATGGGAGACCCAGAAGAAACTCCTGGCTTCATATTGGCCCAGCTCCAGGTGTTATGGCCATTTGGGGAGTGAACCAATGGATGGAAGACCTCTCTCTCTGTCTCTGCCTCTCTTTAACTCTTTTACTTTCTTTTATTTTCATATGTGGAAATTCCAGATCTTTGAATGAAATTTATATTGACATTCACTTTGGAGTGTTAGGACTATTGAATGTGAAAATCAAGGCCTTCTAGTCACAGAAATAAATATGTCACCTAATAAACAAACCACTTATTTACCATGGGCATAAAAAATAATGAATCCTAGGGGATTCTGGAGTTTTATCTAGGAGATGAGGCATTACTATCCATCTATGCATTCCTTTTAAAGTCCCATCTGGCAAAGACAGCACTTCAGAAAGCAACTAGATACATCTCAGCTTATAATGGGGTTACACCCTGATAAACTCACTATTAAGTTGAAAATATCTTAAGTAAAAATTGCATTTATTTCACTTACCCTACTGAACATGATAGTTTAACCTAGCCTACCTTAAATGTGCTTAGAACCCTTACATTACCCTACAGTTGGGGAAAATCTAACAGAAAGCCTATGTTGTAATAAAGTACTGAATCTCTCAAGTAATTTACTAAGTAATGCACAGTACATTGTTGTGACCGCATGACTGTGAGCTGTGGGTCACCGCTGCCACCCAGCATCTACAGAAAGGATCCTATCATGTATCAGCATCCCAGGAAAAGATGAAAATTCAAAGAACAGTTCTATTAAGTGCATATTGCTTTTGCACCATCATAAAACTGAGAAATCATTAAGTTGAGGACCATCTGTAGTACATGTGTGCATGAATGTGTGTGTGCGTGTTTTAACCACATGACATTACCACTTCAAGTATAAAATCACTCTATTTCAAGATTATTCTGGATTTCTGGACAGATGAGAAATCATGCAACCTTATAAACAGACCACATGTATCTTCTTCATGACCTCAAAAGATGCCTGATTTGCTGAGATAGAGCTCAACTGGGCACTCTCTACTGGGGCTAACATGATATTGCCATTTTGACTCTGTTTAAATGCACAAAAGAAACAAGGATGTGTACCAGCTGCAACTAGATCATTTGTAATCTTGGAATTTTACATTGTGAATTTTTTACTCATGTGTATCCTGCTGTCAACGTGAGAACCAGACAAGAACAAAGGGTCGTTTGTCCACCAATGATTGTATGTTTACACCAGCAGATGGAGATAAGAACAGAGACAGAATACAACATAAGGTACCTTGATGATAATTAAGACTCACCAGTATTCCTTAAACTTCTTTAGTAGTTAGCTTTTCTTTATTCACTGTACTTGAATTTTCATAAGGACATTAAGTATTATAACATCTTCCTAATAGCCACTAAAGAGTTTCCTAAAAATTAGACACTGAAAAAATAATCTCCACTATTTAAACATCAGGGGCTATGTTTAATTGGAATCTTTCAGAATAAAACTTTTGGTACTAAAGTGAAATTTTCATTTGCAAGTGTGACTCATATTCTCAGCTCATACTTGTTGAACTACACTCAAAATCCACAAACAGTTCCCATATAGCTTCTAATATTTTTAAATGATTTCCCACACCAAATAGCTGCTGCTGGGTGCCACAGTCCACAGCCTACATGGGTTACAATTCGAGGAACACTGAGCTAAACAAAGGGAAATCTTAAAAACTTCGATCGATTCTTTGTTCTATTTTCCTGCCTTAACTAAAACACAAACAGGTAGGATGTGACATGACAATGCTGAGGCAAGGAAAGCTGCGGTCTCCTTTGAAAGAAAGCATATCTGCATTGCGGTCAGTCCTACCTCAAAATCCATAGGATGAAACATATTTTTGATGATGACAACTCGTTCATGGCGCATCCGGGATGGTCCAGCTCTCCTCTCAGGTCTCCAATCCAACTGCCTAATGTAATAAAGCAGTAACAAGAAACTGTGAACTTCATTCAGACTTGCATAGAGGAAAAAAAGCAAGTCGCTAATATCACCAGTTCTTGAGTACTTAACAATGATAATTATTTGATTCTAAAACAACAGTGTGTACTTTAGTAATAGTTCCATTCAAAGAACTTTCTGAAATAAAAACACTGAGCAAGGGAAAAATGGACTTACTGAAATTCCCAGAATATATTTTTTTTTTCCAGAGCAACTGCTGTTTCATTATACAAACATTCCAATGAAATTCCTAGAAAATTTCTAATTAGTTAGAAACTATTTATGATTCTCAAGATAAGATATACAGGGCTGGCACTGTGGCGTAGTAAGTTAAGCATCTGCCTGTGCCGCCGGCATGCCATATGGGTGCCAGTTCAAGTTCTGGCTACTCCACTTTCAATCCAGCTCCCTGCTGATAGCCTGGGAAAGCAGTAGAAGATAGCCCAAGTCCTTGGGCCCCTGCACCTGTGGGAGACCTGAAGAAGCTCCTGGCTCCTGGTGTCGGATCAGCTTAGCTCCGGTCATTGTGGCTATTTGGGGATTGAACCACTGGTAGGAAGACCTCTCTGTCTCTCCCTCTCTCTGTCTGTAATTCTGCCTCTCAAGTAAATAAATAAATCTTAAAAAATGATTAAGACATACTTGGAGGACAAAAGAAATCTTTTAATTGTATTGATTTTTAGGCATTTTGTCATTATAAAGAATTGCATTGATATATGAAAAACTGTTCATTCTTTGTTACAATATTAAATTTTACTAACTTCGTTTATAAAATTTGTAGGTATTATTTTAGCTACTCTTGTAAAAAAGTGAGATAGCACAACTAACTGCTTTTAAGTATTTACTATGATAAAAGTATTCATCACTTTAGCTAATTTCTTAAACTAGCGTATTTCAAAAAGTTTATTAAATAACTTGAGAACATTTTATATATACATACATATATACTATATATGATTTTAGAACATTTTATATATGTATTACATATGACTACATAGTAAGTACAAAAATAAAATCTATCATTTCTATTTCTAACAAACCTACATATAAAAATTCAGCTCCTGGTGCAACTGATTTTAATCCACATGGAAAATGAACTAATGGTTCTGGTATGTAAGCATAAAATATTTTATTTAATTTGATGTAAAGCATTTTCTAAAGAGCTGGCTTCTCTCAGCTCATGTAAGCACCCAAAAAAGGAAAAACCACACCACTGCCAAATCATCTCATTGTATAGACTACTGAAGGTTCCAGATGATCTAATGAAATTCCTTTAAAACTATATGTAGACATAACCAGGTAGCTATTACTAAAATACTCTAAGGTATTTATATGAAATATTTCAAAAAGGAAAAAAAGGACAAACTTTTGTTGCATAGACAGCTTCTTCTTATAGTCTTTGCACTTCTTCTTCTTCTTTGAGGCATCATATTCCCCCTTTAGCTGGAACTTTGCCACTTCTACATGCAATTTGTAGCCTCTGATTTCATCTTCATCCAAAAGTTTTAATGCAAGTTCCACAGATTCTCTCTTTAGAAAAGCAAAATAAAACAGTCCATAAGCTATAACTGAAGTGAAAGTTATACGAACAACAAAGATTTAAACAGAACTACCTACTTTGTGATACAGAACTTTAGAATGCAAACCAAGAAACCTGCATTTGAGACACAGCTGTCCCTAACCAACTAGCTATATAAACGTGGGCAAGTTATTCAAGTTCCCTAAGCCCTAATTCTTTACCTTAAAAAGTTTTCCCTTTATTGTCCCTGACCAAAATTAAATGAAACAATGCATGGCAAGGCTAGAGACTGGCACATGGAAGGTACTCAATAAATTCTATTCTTATTTGGCAATTTTGCTTCCTAAAGCCCCATTTTCTCACCTGTAGAACAAGGCAAATGGACTTGCATGATTTCTAAGGTGCACTCTAGTTTTTAAATCCTGCAATACTCCTTCTTAAAAGAGTAGATGATTAAACAAACTGGGAATAGCATAGCCAAACTTTGTTTAAGGGGGCTGGTGCCATGGTATAGTAAGTAAAGCTGCTGCCTGTGACACTGCCTTCCTATATGGGAGCTGGTTCGTGTGCCGGCTGCTCCACTTCCAATATAGCTCCCTGCTAATGTGCCTGGGAAAAGCAGTGGAAGATGGTTCAACTGCTTGGGCCCCTGCTACCCACATGGGAGACTGGATAAGCTCCTGGTTCCTGGCTCTGTCCTGGCTTAGCCCCGGCTGTTGTGGTCATCTGGGGAGTGGAACAGCAGATGAAGATCTCTGTCTCTCTGTAAGTCTCTCTATCTCTGTTAGTTTGACTTTCAAGTAAGTAAGTTTTTTTTAAAAATCTTTGTTTCACCAACTAAAATGTGGGTCTCTAAAATACTGAGAAACAGAAGATAATTATTTGACAGTTTGTACATTAAACACATTTATGGATTCTGGGTCCTACACAAAGGCAGCAGTTGTCAGTCCTAGAGTCATCAAAGATCCAAAGAAATCACAAAAGGACACTGAACTCAAGATACTTGTACAAATATGGATCCTAGAATAATTATTTTTCTGGAACCCAGTTAACTGGTTTGACAATGCTGTACTTTTATGTTTCCTGAATTATACACATCCAAAGCTTTTCAAAACTTTGTTTTCTTTAAAAATCTTAAACATCCAATCAGACTCCCTAAGAATCTATACACAGATTTTAAAACAACCCTTAAAGAACTTGTAAAACCCTCAAATCTCCTTACATTTGAACTTTACCAAACTACCTTCCTAAAATGATCAGGCTCATGTCCCTTAAACGTATCATGTTTAAGATCCAGGTCAAAAACCAATCTCCCAAAAAGATGTCAGCTTATCCTACCCTCCTCTGATCCTACTAGAATCCTGTACGCTCACAGCACACCTGTGGTGTCTGCTGTTTCATCATTTTGATTTTACTTTGAAATTATTCTCAGGTTCTATGACTGTATACATACTGCCACCGTGCTCATTCCTTTTGTACCCTGCTCTAATACATAACACATGCTCCTAAGGTGGCAGATGTTCCAGACGATGGCTGCCTTTGTCTCTAACTTTTCCCCATGTAATTTATAGTACCATTACCACATGAGGTTCTTTAAATTTCTGTTAACTACACTCTTTCTTCTCTCCCATTTAAAAAGTATTTTAAATCACAAGGCATTAATTACCGTCTCCTTTATGGTCTAATTCAAGGGTCAGAAAAGTCCTTTTGAAAAGGGCCACTTAGTAAATATTTTAAGTTTCATGACTCACGGGGTCTGTGCTGTAACCACTTAACTCTTGCCAATGAAACATAAAAATAGCCATAGGCAAATGTGTTAGTGAATGAATGTGGCTGTGTTCCAATAAAACTTTATTTACAAAAACGGGTACCAGGCTGTATGCTGGTCTACTAAGTGGGTAAATTTTCAAGTAGAGTTCTAAACTGATTAGATGTATCAATAAAAAGACCTTTATAGTCAGAATGCTTTTAAGACAAAAGAAGCATATCAAATGCTTATATAATATTTTGAACTGATTACATATTCTTTTAAAACAAGTAAATAACCTTTCCAATGTGATACATACAGGTACCATCTGAAATTTCAGTTTTCCTCATATCCTGTTTTGAACAGTTCCTGGTCTTGTTTATTATCTATAAAAGATTATAGTCCTGGTTCCTCAGTTGAAAATGGAGATACAAGAAACTTATCTGACCATATAACTAACCTTCAAATAACAGCAAAGCCCATCTCCTTTAAGATTTCCTTGATTATCTTTGTAAAGTTTGACCTTAAATTCTTCTGTCTGAGGATCTCTCATAATAATACCAAACTTGGACATAAGCTGTATAAATTCGTCCACTGTAATGTCTGGAGGCAAACCTGTAACATTAAGAAAAAATTTTCTTAAATCCCTAAAGGCAGTTATAATAAAGATGAGAGCTACTTAGCGTTCTACAAGTTAGAAATCTACAACTTAAGTGAGTGCTATGTTGATTTCCTCAATGGATGTAAAAATCTCACATCATCAAAACAGAGAAAAGTTCACATTTTTGTGTATTCAAGCATGCATTAAAGTTATGCTTTGCTCAGGCTTCACTGAACCTGCATTGGCAAACTTCTCTAAGTTTAGTTAAAGCAGGCAAAAATGATAGCATGAAAATGACATATACTTAATTTTTCCTAGTTCTGTCATAAACATATACTTAATGAATGTATACAGCTGAGCAACAACAACAAAGCACAGTGATAAGAAATGGACTTTAAAGAAACTGAAAACTAAAAATCACTTTGTAAGAAAACTGAACAACCAAGTATTCACTATCCCAAATTTGTTTAAAAGTATACAAACCAGACACATATACATTTGTATTTCTGTCTTCTTCAACATGAAACCATCCTAAAAATACAAATGAAATAAATATATAAAACTCAAGGTAATGTAAGATTTATATTATAAAATATATAAACAGTGGCAGTCTGTTGAAACTTACAAGAACTTTATCTTATTCTTAGAAAACTAAGACAAACTCATTTAAAGCACTACCCAGCTTTCCAAGTGTTTGAATCTTTTGACAGATGCAGTATTGTCTTAAAAAAAGGCCTGTTTATTTTGATTGTTGCTTATTATTTAGATTTTTGACTAGTACGTAATATTTGTACATTTTGAAATGTGTTATTTATTTTTATCTACTTGGAAAACAGAGAGAGATATCTTCCATCTGTTGTTTCATTCTTGAAATGTCCACAAACAAGGTTGGGCTGGGTCAGGCCAAAAACAGGAGTCCAGAATTCCTCCTAGTGTCCCACATGGGTAGCAGGGGCCCAAGGACTTGATCCGTCATCTGCTCCCCTCCAGAATACAGATACAGGAAGCTGAATCAGAAGCTGAGGAGCCACAACTTAAACTGACACTCTGATATGGGGTGCCGGGTTCCCAGTGGCAGCTTAACCTGCTGCACCACAATACCGATCCCTACTTAAACATTTTCATGGGCTATAGTAAAATTTTTCAATATACAAATAGAGCATAAACTAATCAAATCAGGTAATTATGAATCTGCCATTATTTAAATAAAAAAATCTTGCCATTTGTTCAAAGCTATTATAAATCTCCAAAAAGTAACTCTATGTATACATTCACACTTTTAAGTTTTTACACTCATATTCTGCAAGCTAGAACTACTTGCCTGACTCGGATTTTCTTTTTTCTCCCTTCTTTCTGGGATCAGTGGGTTCAGGAGTTTTTCTTTGTGGAGGTTCCTCAGCAATCCTAGTATTGACATCTTGTATGTTTGCCGTAGAACTAGATGCGCCATCATTAGAGAAGCCATAATTGGCCTGATATGTAGCAATGAAATCTTCAGTGATCTAAACAAGAAATTTAGTTCATGCACGTGTGTGCATACACATACAAACACATGCACAGAAATTCAGTTATTTCCACCCATAAACTTCAAACTGTGTCATATTACAGACTATTTGGCTATATAACTTACCATCGAAGACGCTGCGTGAATAATAATTGTAGTTGTAGTGATTAAAGTGTAAATCCAAGAATGGTCACCTGATACAAATACTTAAATTATCAAGACAAAAGTCTGTGGTACTAATAAAGCACTTTAAGTGATGTTGGTCCCTTTTCTAGTTGATGCATTTATAAATTACTACCTCTCCACAGTCTACTGACTAAGGCTACACATACATATAACAAAGGAAATACCAGGTAACAATACGACAGGATAACAACCTACAGTCAACTAATAAGCTAACCACAAAATCCACTTTTTTTACTGTATAGAAGCACACATATATTTCCACTTAATTATTCAATATGTGAATTCAAAGAGCACATAGAATGGAAGTGTGATGTGGCATACAAAGAATGAGACTCATAATTACAAAGCTAAATGATCATTTGAAATCTATCACTAATGAAATCACCATTTAGAATCAGAATCAATTCAGGGCAAATCCAACTAGTTTTGGGGGGAAAATGGACTATTATATAATGTTAGAAAAGTGCTTATAGCATCACACCAATTCAATCAACATTCAGTACACACATGAATGGGGAAAATTTAAAACTCAAAGTTTGAAGAGGTAAGGGCCTCAATAACACAAAAATGTAGAACGATAAATTAATCCACTACCAGACTACTGTTAAAAGTACTCAGAAGGCTGAAGAAAGCCAATTTGCCTCAAGCTGACACTACCTGTACTTTTGTAAAATAGCAAATTTTAAAAAGTTGGAGAACTTTCAATATATACAAATATAAAATGGGAAAGAAAAGTAGAAATGAAGACTTTTTCACAGATCAGTCTAATCACACAATGGAGACACGCTGTGTTTTGTTGGTTTGCATGTCTTGGTGTGCTATTAGTAGTCTTTCTGGCCTCCACAGGAGACTCAGAATAACAGAGTGCTTCTACAGCAAAGTTTACAGAACCAAGTTTCACTAGTTATGTTACTTCCAAGCAGAAATAAAATATCTAACAATTTCTCAGTACTCCAAACTAACATGCACACATCTTTTCCAACCATACTCTGCGCATCCCTCATTGTATTCTTGTGGATGTAAAGTTCAAACATAAATGCCTAAGGACAAACGCAGCAGGCAGAGAAAGCAAGGAGCAAACAAAGTTCATTCAGCACAAGTATATAAACAGCAACTTTTTGTAAACGAAGACATATGCTAAACGTGAATTCCTACGATAAGTGAGGTAAGCGAGGGCGGCTATCTGAGATGATCAGCTACAAAATTTTTTGTGTGTTTTTCCTCTTTGCAATAAAAAAGTCATCAATAGAATAGCCAACTGTGACCTTCACAGACAAAATAAAGCACGGAAAAGGCATTTAATACCCCATTCGAAAGATTTACGTTCCTTTACACATCAACTCTGCAAAAGACACAACAAAAACAAGCGTCACCATCCAGGGGGGTGAGGACCACAGACCTGACTGAGTGAGCACAGCAAATGTAAAAGTGCTCTGTGAAGCTGGCCAGGCGGCCCGCTCTGCAGTGGCGCCAGTGCTACTCGCTTACCTTGGGGAACCAAGCCTTCTTGTCTAGGTCCCACTCGTACGGGGTGTCAGCCGCCTGCTGCCCGAAAGAATCGGGTTCTCCGCCGGGATCGTTCTGGGTGTCACCCTCCTTGGTGTCTCCGTACAATTCTTGCATTCGCAACTGCTCATCAAACTCGTCGTTCCCACCCAAGTTGTTGCCGCTCATGTTTCCTACCTAGCCCAGAAGCAGGGTTCAGACGAGCGAAGAGGCCGAAATGACGCCAGAGAGGGGATCTGAGAAGGAGGTCGGCCGTGCTCCGCTCCCGCCCCGCGGCCCCCCGGCCCGCCTCCCCACGGCGCCCCAGCAATCCCCGGGAAGTCGGGACCGCTCGCCGCCGCGCCGCCCCTCGCTCCGCGCGGCTGTCCGCCCGCCCACTGCGCGCGCGCGCGCCGATCCTCTCAGCTCGGCTCCGCCACCGCCCACCTGGCTTGAACCACCGGGCCTCGGCGGCGCCGCCGCTCGGTCCAGGGCGCGGCGAGAGCGCGCACGCGCGCCGCCGCCACCGCCGCTCGGGTCTGAGACGACTGCAATTCTCGCGGCAGCGTCAGGAAATGACTTCAAACGGAGCCCTCCTCAGGCTGACGCAGTCGCCATTGTGGGCGCGGTGTGACGTCCTGTGTCGCGCCGACACGCCTACCATGACGTCAAAAGGTGCCGACGAAGGCCTGAGGCGCAGGGTCCGGAGGGGCGGGGCGCCAAGGAATGCGCGGCTGTCGTGCGTTGATGACCACCAGGCCCTTCCTGTGGACGAGATGAGGTCCTTTAGGGCAATGCAGTCCCTTGGGGGCCTTAGGCCCCGTGGGTCTTCGGAAGGTTCGGCCTGGCTGACCTAGTCCGGGCGGTACCCCAAAGGAAGGTGTGGGAATACTGCCTTGCAGTGGGCGCCATCTTGGGGGAGTGGGTGGGACCGGCAGGACAGGTTTCTCTCGCTTCCTTAAAACGCAAAAACGTCGCGTCTCCGTCGCCCAAAAACTCTTCCCTGCTTCGGTGTCATGTCTTTTACTTATTTGTTTCTGATTGCCCTGGGATAGGCTCCGGCTCTGGCTCATCTTGGTAGCCTAATCACCTGCTGCAGGATTTGCTGTCTAGTGTGCAGTGACTGAATGAACGAACAAACCAAGGATAAGCACAAGGATCAACCTTTGCCTAATCTCAGACTCCTGTTTGATCGTCTCATGCCTTCCTCTGGACGAAGAGTTGGACTCTGCCTGCCTCGTCCTCCAGGATTCAGAAGTGCTCAAGCCCCAAACTTGAAACGTAAACATAAACATCCCAGTGTAAACACAACCTGTGCTGGCCCAGTAACTTTGTCTTTCCTTTAGAAAGATACAGCACGCTTTTGTTCTAAACAGAACTTTTTTTTTTCCCTGCAAATTACTTGCTTTGCTGAAAACGAAGAAGTCCATATTTGTCACTTGGTATAACAGTTATTGAACTAGTAAGTGTCAGGCAATGTACTAGGCTCTGGTGACTCAACAGTCAACAAGATGGGCACAGCTCGTGGGAAACAGGCTCAGGAAGGCTAATAAATCTGACAGGAGAGGTATGGGGTGCCAGAGACAGTGGTTCTCAAACTTTCTGATCACAGGATCGCTTTACTCCCCCAAAATACTGAAGAGTCCAAAGAGTTTTTGTTTATATGGTTTATATTTACCATTATTTCCAAAACAGTCATTTTAATGAGTATTTATTAGTCCATTTAAAAATGACAGCCCGTTAGGTGTTCATTGAGGATGGAGAAAAGCTCCTCAGAAAAAATTATTTCTACTATTCCAGTGACATTTGCTTCGAAACTTAGCAGCTGAGTATGAATTCTAGAAAATCCTGGCTCCTCACATGCCAACTGTGTGAATCCATGTTTCAACCATAACCATAGTTTTTGAAATAGTAGTTTGGGTTTGTATTTGTTTATATTTTTGTTTTAAGTACATTTCTGTTTCATTACATTCTTGTTCTGGTCAGAACTATTGGAGAACTGAACTTGCAGGCATTTTCATAATATAGATAATGTGAGTTTTATTGGGCTCATTTAAACATTGCTAAGTATATCTTCTTGGATCCAAAAATAGTATACAGTTGTTTTCAGCAATGTGTTATTGGGCTCCCGTTTCATTCCTGAGTGAGTCCACAGCATAGGTGATAATGCTACACCAGCCTACTGCAAATGACACTCCTTAAGTGCTTGCTGTATCCACAGCCCCTTCCTGATCAGGTGACCAAAAAGGTTCCTTATGCATGCATAAGTTCCATATCACCCAACCACCCTAGTCCAAAGACTGCCCAGAGGCCTGTAGGTGACCTAGCAGGGGAGCTCTGCATTCTAGATTGGGTTTCACTAACTGAGCCAATGAGAGCCCCTCCCAGGAAGTTTGAGTGTGGAACAGATAGGAGTATGGTCATAGTAGCACAGAGACCCATGTAGGAAAGGTGAAAGATGGGACAGTGACCTGCTGTGAAGAAGTTCCCCAAGGGTTAAGAGAAACATCACAGGGGGCCGGCTTCGTGGCACAGTAGGTTAATCCTCCACCTGCGGCCCCAGCATCCCGTATGGGTGCCAGTTCTAGTCCCGGCTGCTCCTCTTCTGATCCAGCTCTCTGCTATGGCCTGGGAAAGAGTAGAAGATGGCCCAAGTGCTTGGGCCCCTGCACCCACATGGGAGACCAGGAGGAAGCACCTGGCTCCTGGCTTCGGATTAGCGCAGCTCTGCCATTGTGGCCATTTGGGGAGGGAACCAATGGAAAGAAGACCTTTCTCTCTGTCTCTACCTCTCACTGTCTATAACTCTACCTCTCAAATAAATAAATAAAATCTTTAAAAAAGAGAGAGAGAGAGAAACATCACAGGCAGAAACAGAGGGTCACCAAGTCACTATAATAATAAAGCAGTGGAACTGGGAGATAAATATAATTGTACCTGTAATGGCACTCTATTGGCCATGAGACCGGAGAGTTTTATGTATATATTTTTTATTTATTTTCACTTTCTTTGAAAGTCGGAAAAAGATCTTCATCCTCTGGTTCACCCACCAAATGACCACAACAGTTGGGACTGGGCCAGGCTGAAGCCAATGGCCTGTAACTGCATTCAGGTTTCCCACGTGGGTGGCAGGGACTCAGATACTTAGCTATCATCTGCTGCCTCCCAGAGTGTGTATTAGCAGGAAACTGGATCAGTAGTGGAGTAGCCAAAACTCAGATACTCATATATGGGATGTGGGTATCCCAAGCTGTGGCTTAACCACTGCACCAAATGCTTTTCCTAGAGAGTTATATTTTAGCAATACAATTATTTCTATAAGGCCCCATTCCAATTTGTTCTTATTTCCCTGTGTAGTCATAAAGTAACTCTCTAGAAACTGAAGCAATCTAGAAGCATCTCTATCCTTGTAACTTCTCTTCTTCAAGATTGTTTGCAAGTTACAGAAACACTCAAGGTAACAAGGAAAATAGGACTAAAAAGGTAAGCAGGAGGTGGTTTCCTGAAACTCTAGGACCACAATAGATAGCCTGCGTGAAAAGCTGTTAAACCTAAAAGAGGAACCAGCTGGAATCCAGACAGTGAGCTTCTCTCTGGCTTCGTTTTTCTCTCTCTGGGTGTTGTAATATGTGTGTTAGACTCCTAATAGACCAAGACCTTCTTGGTGGATAAAACTTTATTAAACTACAAAAGTATAGACTGCTTGGCTAGAGAAGTTACCTACCTGGACCAGGGAATCTTTTGGGAAAATACCTGAACCTTACCAAACTAGAGTTTTTTCATAATGACCCTTTCAAACCCACTCTGTTTCTGAATTTTCCTTTCCCCACATTCTGTGACCTCAAGATTTAGCAAATCCAAGTTTGAAGAATTCCCCCAGTTTGAACCCTTCTATATCAGGAATCTACTGGTCTTGAAAATAGTAAATTTTTTGTTAGAAGGAGTTTCATTTCTCCTATTTTCAGCATGTACTCCAGTGTTAAAGATTTTGTAGCAATTTCAACTTTAGTGATGAAGACTTGCCTTTTGGTTGTACCTACCTTTGTGACCGTGTGTGTGTGTGTGTGTGTGTGTGTGTTCTAGTGTACTATTTTGGTTCCTATTTGAAGTTTGGGGTCAGGAAAGACTCTCAGCAAAGTTGAGATATATGCAAAATTTGTTTTGCTTATGTCCCATCTGTTCTCCCCTTTTTAGGACTTTCCAAAGAAATTAAATCGTCCATAGGAACATTTCTGACATCACAATAACTGATATGAATGAATTCTTGGTGCTATTTGTAAGGTGAGCGCTGAAAAAGATAATCTGTTACTAAAAAAAAGCCACCCCTCCCCAAAAATCAAAACAGGGCTGTGAATTTTAATTACAAATTCTTCTGTTTGATTGGGACTTGGCTTATGCCCTAAAAACCATTTAGGGAATTATTTTATATCAGATCTCTAAGTCACTACTACAGATTACTAAGTGTTCTCTTGGCTTTTGTATTCTGGTGCTTCTATCAAGTTATTTCTAAAATGTTACACTTAAGGAAGTGAGTATAATTTTTGCTGAGGGTGAGGAAAACAGTAACAATATTTTGGGGTTCTGTAGCTTGAAAACAATTTTTGGAATTAAAATAGGTTCTCTGTTACAGTCTGTCAGAAATATTGTTTTTAGACTATAAAGCTTCACAAGTCATTTAAAATTTTATTTCATATTTATTTGTTTCCCCTACTTTTTACAATGTCTATCTTAATATTAATACAATATTGGCACCCCCACTTTAAATAGACCAGTTTTACAGAGATTTGATGTCTAGTGTTAATATATATCCCCTTTATGAACCACATCATTAGCAAAAATTCACAACTATGCAAGCCATTGAGAAAGCTCAAAATTACCATAAACACACTCAAAAATCAAGTGTTTAAAATACAAATTGAACTATAGTACCAAACATATGCTTTGATTTGCTCCAGGAAAACATTTTCTGAAACCACACATCTAAATCTGACACATCTATTGACAGCGGTTTTGGGAAATGACAGTAACAAGGGCATCGTGTTAACAATAGGAGGAGCACAGGATAGAACATGAGATCCTGCTGTCTGATTTCCAACAGGAGAGACTGAATAAGTCAGATACTTACAGGACCTAGGCACCAATCAGGTTTCAGAAAGCCAAGCAGACAGCTGAGCTGATAACAACCTCAGATTCAGGTGTTGGGAGTTTCATGTACTTCTCCATGTTTTTAGAAAGAGGGCACTGCTTACCAGAAAGAAAGGAATTTCCTTAAAGGAAGAATTTCAGACACTGTGACAGCATCAGAGATTTTCTCTGGGGGTCCAAATGACACTCATAAACATAGCTGCTTATTTTGCCTGTGTATGAAGCAAATTCTTTACAGTGTTTGTAATAAATACCTTTTCCTGGTTCTTAATCAATGGCAGTTGTAAGTAAAACTGCATTAAGTCAGTTAATGTTGACCTTGTTAAGGCAAGCACTCTACCCCAGGACCTTACTCAGTGATTTCTATTTGTTGACCCCCACACATTTTCATTTCAATTGCACTGATTTAGTTATAATGGAGTAAAGATGAATGGAAAAGAGCA